TCCTGGATCTCACTCTATAGACTATGTTGGCCTTGAACTCACAGAGATCCACCTGGCTCTCCCTCCCGAGTGCTGGGATCAAAGGCATGTGCGCTGCTGTCCGGCTTAAATCATTTTCAGCACAACTGCTTGCCACTGCTTATAGTTTTCACCTTTTATGCCAGAAAATTCTCTTACTAGTAAGAAGCCGTGGTACCATCAACACATGGTGGCAGGATGCCATCTACACATGATAGAGATCTTAGACACAGAATTTACTACTTACTGTGAGGAATGACAGGGGATATTTGTGATGGCTGGGGCACTATCACATTCTACATTATAAGGTTACATTTGTATTTCATATTGTAGAAAAGAATCTTGCATTTACACATTTAAGTAGCTCAGCATGTGCACAGTACTAACCATGTCTGTTCTAGTTAATCAGGCACCCAGATGGCATACCAGGAGAATGCAAGTCACTGTGACCTCCAGCGCATGTGGTCCATGTCCACGCTGCCTGGGGAAATACAGTAACAGGAGAAGGGGCAGGAGACAATAAGGAGAGAAGTGGCAACATGATGATCTCAAAGCCAAGGCTGACCACCTGGCCCCAGGGACAAGAATAAACTTTGGAGTGACTGCCTTGTTTTCACTCAGCAAAGTTTGCTGGCTGGAGATGAGATATAAGGCAGAGTTTTGGGCTGTTAATTCATTGCATTCTCAGATATCTGAAACTCTAAATAAAGTCCTGTTTTTCATTTAAATTTATTATATGTGTATGGGTGTTTTGCCTGTATGTTTATCTGTGCACAGCATAAATGCCTGGTGTCCCCAGGAGTCAGAAGAGGGCATCTGATCCCCTGGGACTAAAGTTTCAGATGGTTGTGAGCCACAGATTGAGTACTGAGGATCAAATCCAAGTCCTCTGGAAGAGCAGCCAATGCTATGAACCATGAAGCCATCTCTCCAGCCTCATAAAACCCACTTTAACGATTCAGTCCCTGACTTTGCTTGGGGCACTTGTGAAGACAGGCAATACAAACTCTGATATCTCATTTTCATGTGGTCTTCTAAATGTAAGAACTAAACTATAACCTTTAATCCTGGCACTTGGGAGGCAGAGCCAGGCAGATCTCTGTGAATTCCAAAACAGGCACCAAAACTACACAGAGAAACCGTGTCTCAAAAAACCAAAAAAAAGAAAGAAAAAAAAAGAACTAAACTATGTGGGAAACATCTTGTAAAATAATTACTGAAAACAAACAAGCAAACAAACAAAAGGACTACAGAAGCCATCTCTGCTAGAGGGAGAGCTTACATACTTACGTGAGGGGCTTTTAGAAATCATAGCCAGGGCCAGCAAGATGGCAAGCTGTTTGCTAACTGATGACCTGAGTACAATCACTAGAACCCACAAAGTGAAAGAAGGAAACTTATACCTGCAAGTTTTCTTCTGACTTCTACACAGGTACTGTAGCCTGTGAGTGCACACACACACACGCACACACGCACACACGCACACATGCACACACAGGCACTCGCATACACATGAAGGCGAGTGGACACTTTTGCACACACACTTACTCGAGTGTGCACACACACGAAAACCCCTCTTCAACCACAGCAATGATTGAGCACCATACTAACTGAACTCAAACTACTCTCACAATATTTATATATCTCTCAAAATCCTTTATATTTAGATATTTTAAAAATTGTCTAAGCTAATCTAGGTAGTGATGGCCCACAAGGCTTTAATGCCAGCACTCAGGAGGCAGAGGCAGATCTCTGTGAGTTTAAGGCCAGCCTGTTCTAACAAGTGAGCTCCAGGACAGCCAAGGTCACACAGAGAAACCCTGTTTCAGAAAATAAAATAAAACAAAAATTGTCTAAGCTATTTGGAATTTTCCTTGGTGTGTTTCCTAAATGATAAAAATAATTCAGGGCTTGATGGACTGGCTCAGTGGTTAAAGGTGCTTGCTGCACAAACCTGATGACCTGAGTTCAATTCCCAGAGGCTACCTAAAAGTGAAGAGAGAGCTGACTTCACAGTTGTCCTCTGACTGCCACACATACACTGTAGCATTTGCATCCCCCGTGTCATACCTAGCCTCATACCCATTATATAAATTTATAAATAACAAATAAAAACATACACAACCACAAATACATTTAAATAATACTAATCTTTTTCTTTTTTTTTTCTTTTTTTTTGGTTTTTCGAGACAGGGTTTCTCTGTGCAGCTTTGCGCCTTTCCTGGGACTCACTTGGTAGCCCAGGCTGGCCTCGAACTCACAGAGATCCGCCTGGCTCTGCCTCCCGAGTGCTGGGATTAAAGGCGTGCGCCATCACCGCCCGGCTCTTTTTCTTTTTTCAAGACAGCATGTCTCTGTGTAACCATGGCTGGCCTCAAACTTGCTCTGTAGACCAGTCTTGGCCTCCAACTCACAGAGATCCTCCTGCCTCTGCCTCCCAAGTGCTGGAACTAAAGGTGTCTGCCTGGGAAATAATACTAATCTTAATTTTAGAGAAACTACATAGGAAGATATTATCTCTCACTAACCATGCTTTTGTTGTAATTAAATGCTTACCTAGGCATTCTGTCCTTAAACCAACTCTCCATGCTTAAGAATAACAAAAAATAGGGCTGGGGAGACCGATCTGCAGTTAAGAGGCACTTGTTGCTCTTGAAGAATACCCAGGTTCAATTCCCAGCTCCCACATGGCAGGGACTCTGGTGCCCTTTTCTGACCTCCACAGGCACCAGGCACTGATGTGGTGTCCATACATACATGGCAGGCAAAACACCCATACAACATAAAATATAAGTAAATATTTAAAAATATTATTAAAAAGTCAATACTTTCATAAAATAATTCTTTTATTTCAGTATAACATTCAGTTTTTAAACTGTCAAGTAATTATTTAAATCTTTCAAAAAGAACTCCATTTGGGAGGCTAACTATATTTGAAATATAAATTCTTGGAAACCTAAATGATAAAACATCTTCCTACTAATAAAAGAAGGGAAAAAAAAGTAATTGAGTCCCACCTAGGATTACTATGCTCCTATTGCTGTTAAACATGTTAAGATACAGCTGTTTGTGGGGAGGTGATGGCACACACCTTTAATCCCAGCATTTGAGAGGCAGAGGCAGGTGGATTTCTGAGTTCCAGGCAGTCAAGGCTACAGCAGAGAAACCCTGTTTCAAATAAAAAAAGGAAGGAAAGAAGGAAGGAAGGAAGGAAGGAAGGAAGGAAGGAAGGAAGGAAGGAAGGAAGGAAGGAAGGAAGGAAGAAAGGACAGCAAAGAACAGATACAGTTGGTCACAACAGTCCACACCTGAGTCACATGTGTGAGGCAGAGGCAGGAGGATCAAGAGTGCAAGAGGAAGCCGGGCGGTGGTGGCTCAAGCCTTTAATCCTAGCACTTGGGAGGCAGAGGCAGGTGGATCTCTGTGAGTTCGAGGCCAGCCTGGTCTCCAAAGCGAGTTCCAGGAAAGGAGCAAAGCTACACAGAGAAACCTTGTCTCGAAAAAAAACCAAAAAAAAAAAAAAAAAACCAAAAAAAAAAAAAAAAAGAGTGCAAGAGAAAGCTGGCAGTGGTGGTGCACACCTTTAATCTCAGCACTTGGGAGGCTGAGGCAGGTGGATCTCTTTAAATTCGAGGCCAGCCTGGTCTACAGAGCTAGTTCCAGGACAGCCAGGGCTATACAGAGAACCCAGCCTCAAAAATAAATAAATAAATAAATAAAATTTTAAAAAATGCAAGACAAGTCTCTGCAGAGCAACTTTGAGGCCTGCCTGGACTCCAAAAGATCTTATCTTAAAAACTAAAGAGGGGCTGGAGAGATAGGTTAATGGTTATCAACACTTGGCTGCTCTTTCAGAGGACCTAGGTTCCAATGGCGACTCACAACCTCACTGTAGCTCCATACATTCAGTCACAGACATACACATAGCCAAAACACCCATATACATAGAATAAAATGAAAATAATGATAATCAAAACAATGAAAAATGGCCAGCAAGATGGCTCAATGGATTAAGACACAGACTTAAGGGTCACTCATGCTTATTAAACATAAAAGGAAGGCCGGGCGTGGTGGCACACGCCTTTAATCCCAGCACTGGGAGGCAGAGGCAGGCGGATCTCTGTGAGTTTGAGGCCAGCCTGGACTACAGAGTGAGTTCCAGGAAAGGAGCAAAGCTACACAGAGAAACCCTGTCTCAAAGAAAAACAAACAAACAAACAAACAAAAAACCCAGAAATAAACATAAAGGGAAAGTAGAAATCGCTGTTTTGTTTTCGATGTAGAGAATTATTAAAAGACTAGATGCCACCATTACATAAAATGTACCACTACTGCTTAATAAATCTGAATAATACTGTCCCTACATGACGTATTTTTCATACGTTTCTTTAGTAAAACAGCCTTTTAGATGAAGCATTTGTGCTATATTGAGGACAAATATATATTGCATAATATATATTATATATATGCTCTAATCCACATACAATTGTGCACCCTGTAATCCTGTCAGATCATTGGGCACAAATATTTCTTCCTTCACCTTCAGTCAGCTGACACAGGGGTTGAGTCTTTCGGAAATGAGTTTGGGGTAGGTTGAATGGGACAGGGAGCATTTCCCCAATTTCTCAATACAGAAGAAAAATCCAGGCAGTTATTAGACATGTAAGTTAAGTTTCTCCTTCAGCTTCCTTATCCTTAATAAACGGAGCTCCTAAGCTTCCGTTTGTCTGCAGGTGACGGCGATCTGAGAAAGCAAAAAGTATTGCAGAAAGGGTCTTTTCACATCACACTGAAAGGCGTTTCGGCCTTGGCTTCGCAATACGTATACGTGCTTGGAACCATAGTCCGCAGGAGCGTGTGTCTTGTCGGTCCACGGAACCCGTGACCCGGATGTACTATTGTCCGCAAACTCCGCCCAGAAGCCATGCGTATTCACCGGAAAGTATCACTTTTAGCGTGCGTCCCGGAAGCGGAAGGAAGTCCGTTTCTTTTCTCTGTCCCGTACGTTTGTCCCGCGTCGCTCCTGCTGGGCCGGAGCTGTTTGTCGAGGCGGTTCGCAGCGTGTGGAGGAGTGGAACCCTGAGTTCCCGCAGCATCGGCCGCCATGGCGGATGTGACTGCCCGTAGTCTGCAGTACGAGTACAAGGCGGTGCGTGAAGTCTCGGAGGAGGGCTGCGGGCGAGGGAGGCCGTGGATACCCACAAACACGGAGGGGAAATCAGATCTGGGTGAAGGCTGGATTAAAACACGACGGAATAACCCCAGTGGAGTTTAGGGGTTTTTTTTTTTGTTTTTTGTTTTTTTTTTTCACAGTCTTCTTAGCGCTAAACCCGTCCCTTCTACTCGTTATCCCCAATCTGCTCAACACTTTACCTAAATGTGAGTTATTATGGATACTGTTAGGAACGTTGATCGTTCACTTTACCATTCCAGTGCTTGTACATAGCCGTTATATGATACTATTTCTTCTTAAGGGGATTATTCTTTTATTCCGGTATTTTTCCATCTTCTGGTGTCACTGTGGTAACAGAAATCGAAACTTTACATATTTGATAAAGTGTGATCTTTTCAGAACTCAAATCTTGTGCTCCAAGCTGACCGCTCTCTTATTGACCGTACCCGCCGGGATGAGCCGACAGGAGAGGTTCTGTCCCTGGTTGGGAAGTTGGAGGGAACCCGTATGGGAGATAAGGCTCAACGGACCAAACCACAAATGCAGGAGGAAAGACGGGCCAAGTAGGTACCAAGGGGATGTTATATTTTCCTTCTAATCTAAAGCTCATCTTTAGCATTTATTTGAACAGTAGTTTTGTTGAAGTTCCCTTGGAGGATTAGCGGCGTTTGTACAACACAGGGAAACCTCTGCAAGGTTTAAAACTTCTTTGGATTTGGATTCAATGAAGTGAAACAAAAATCTGTTGATACCTTTTGTTTCTGATTCATAGATGTTAATTTTCTTCAAGCTAATTAAAAAAAAAAACTTGTTTTATTTTTAATTATGTGGGTGGGTGGGTGGGTGGGTGGGTGGTGGTGTAATTTGGACATGCATGCAAATGCCTGTGGAGGTCAGAAGATGGTTTGGGATCCCCTGGAGCTAGAGTTTGAGGCAGTTGTGAGCTGCCCAGTGTAGCGACTGGGAACTGAGCTCTGGTCCTCTCCAGAAGAAGAAGTTAGCTCCTAACTACCTGAGGCTTCTCTCCAGGCCCGTCACCAGCTGTTGTCAAGACCCTGGTTAGTCCCCGACTCCTTCCTGTGGTTGCCACTTCCCGGTGCCCTTGTTTTGTTGTTCCTCCTCTTTTCATCTTGGTCGATTCATTTCGAAAGTTCCATGTCCTCTAACTGTGTTTTCTTTCTCCTCTCTCTTTCTGTGGAGTCTTAACAGTCCCCAGGCCCTGTGTAGTTTGAGTGGTTATAATTGAGAAGAGTTGTTGAGATTTGAGAAGAAACATTGTTCCTTGGCCCTTCACTCAGAATCTGGCTTCTTTTCTAGTCATTTACTAGGAGTCACTAGAAGTAGATTCCCCTGGAGCCTAGCTTCTCTGGCTAGTAAAAGGTTAAAACAGTAAAAACTAGTCGAAATACTATTGTATAATCTCCTCCTGAGGATAAAGAGATGCTTATTCAAGTGATTAAGGTCAAGTAGGAATTACTTATTTTGACTCATGTTCCTGCCTGCACATGTTCGATGTACAGAAAGGGTGAACTTGGCTTGGGAAAGAAAAGTTCTCCCATTCAGCATCATATTATGTGTCCATTAGGAGAAGAAAGCGTGATGAGGACCGGCACGACATCAACAAGATGAAAGGTTATACCCTGCTCTCAGAGGGCATTGATGAAATGGTGGGCATCATCTATAAGCCCAAAACTAAAGAGACTCGGGAGACCTATGAGGTGCTGCTCAGCTTCATCCAGGCTGCTCTTGGAGACCAGGTGAGGCTGGAACCAGAAGATGAGACCTTTTGTTTGGAAAGAGAGAGGGTGATAGCATAAATATGTTGGTTAAATTATTAGTTACATGTATTCTGTGTGTGTGTTACTGCATGCATGTGGAAGTCAGGACAACTTTCAGAGTTGGTCCTTTCTTAACTCTGTGTGGGACTCAGAGATCCAACTTAAACTGCTGGGCTTGGTGGAGAGTACCCTTACCTGCGGAGCCATCTTGCTAGTCCAACCAGAAGAATCTTAATCTGGATTTTCCCAGCAGGGAACAGAGCAATATCATTTTTGCAAAACTGGCTAATACTTCCTGAGCACTTATTGTATACAGGACAGACAGAACGTTAACTGAATATGTGCTTTTAACATTCATTTTCAATTTTATAGAAGAGAAACATGAGATACCTAAGTCAAAGAGATAGCATTTGTCAGTCAGAACGTGAATCCAAGTGGTCACTATCCAAAATCTGCCCTGAACCATTGCACACTTAGGAATAGTTTGGAGCCTTTATGAGTTCTCTTGTGAGGTAGGGAATAGAGGATGTGTGAACAAAGAATTAGTGCAAGTGTGACAGGATAGAGGAAGGCTGCCGAGTGCCTTATTCTCATAGAGGTGTGTGGCAAGCTGTTGTGGAAGTTTGTTCTGGTTCTGAAGAACACCTCCCTACCTAGTGTCCCTCCCCTCCCCACCTCCTTTCTGGGGACTGACTCTAGGATCGCAAGCATTTTAAGTACATGTGGTACCACTGTGCTAAATCCTCAGCAGCTTCCTATAGTCTTTATTTTATTTTATTTTTGTTTGTTTGTTTTGTTTTCAAGACAGGGTTTCTCTTTGTAGATGACAAGGTTTCTTTCTGTAGCCCAGGCTGGCCTCAAACTCAGAGATCTCTTGCCTCTGCCTCCTGAGTGCTAGGATTAAAAGCTGTGTGCCACCACTGCCCAGCTGTCTTTTTAAATTTTATTTTGTTTGTGTGAGACAAGGTCTCATGTAGCTCAGGCTGACCTCAAACTCAATGTGTATTCAAGAATGACCGTGAACTTCTGGTTCTGTTGCTTCTTCCCAAGTGCTAGGATTACAGGCACATGCCACTGTGTCTTGTTGATGAATGTGGTCAAAGCCTGGGATACTGCAGATTTTCTTCCTTTTCTTTTTTTCTTGTTCTTTAAGTTGCTTTTCATGTGTATGACTGTTTTGCCTACATGTATATATGTGCACCATGTGTGGCTGGTGCCCCCGGAGATCAGAAGAAGGCATCAGATTTCCTGGAACTTGAGTTACAGTTTTTTGAGCCATCATGTGGGTGTTGGGAATTGAACCTAGGTCCCCTGCAAGAGCAACAAGTGCTCTTAACTTTTGAGCCACCTCTCCAGCTCCTGTAGTTTTGAAGATACATGCTTCTTTATTTCCTATATAAAGTCACAAATCTGGTCAGTTTCCTTCTACATATCATTGTAGTAAATGTTGTTTGTATTTTTTTCTTTAGCCTCGTGATATCCTTTGTGGGGCAGCTGATGAAGTTCTGGCTGTCCTGAAAAATGAAAAGCTTCGAGACAAGGAGAGAAGAAGGGAGATTGACCTGCTGCTGGGTCAGACAGATGATACCAGATACCATGTGCTAGTGAACTTGGGCAAAAAGATCACAGACTATGGTGGAGACAAGGAGATCCAGAATATGGGTACTTGAGCCCTTTGTGTCCTGATCATATTTTGTGGTTGTTGGCCTTTCTTAATGAGGCCATCAGCATCATTGTTAAAATTTCAGAATAGCATTGTTTTTATAACCTATTTTATGTTGCTTGAAGAGAATGGCTAATATGCCAGATGTGTTGGCACAGCCTTATAATCCCAACAAGTCAGCCTGGTCTATATAGCAAGTTCTAGGTCTGCCAGGGCTCGATAGAAAACCTCAGCTTTAGAGAGAGAGAGAGAGAGAGAGAGAGAGAGAGAGAGAGAGAGAGAGAGAGAGAGGACTCACTGACACTAGAATCCCTTGATTCCAGCAGCCATTTCTTGGTTTTGGTTGTGAGCCTAAGCATTTAATGGTTGAGCTATCTCTTCAGCCCTGGAAGCCATTTCTTCTTCTGAGACTTACTGTGTAGAATGTGGGAGAGAGCAGGGAGGGTTTAGGAGCTGAAGAAGCAGAGTAGGGCAGAATCCAGGTTGGCAGGTTGGAGAGGCCTGGGGGCTGGCTTTCATGTTGTTTATGTCTGTGTTTCCGGCCTGAGAATAAACAAGCCAGGCAGTTGAGGAAATGGGTTCAGGTGTCTGCTAATCACTGCCTTCTTTTTGTGATTCCTTATCCCCTCAGATGACAACATTGATGAGACCTATGGTGTGAATGTACAGTTTGAGTCTGATGAGGAGGTGAGTGATGAAGTAAATGTACCCCATCTGTTTTGTGACGTTACCAAGGTGATGGGGGCCTGTCTCATGTACTGAAATCCCTAGCGTAATGAACTACTAGTAAATTAACAGTGTATAATAAACCAGAGAGACCGGAAAACTGGCGAAGGACTGAAAAATGCCATCCTCTGGGCACAACACAGCTGTTGCAGTCATGAACTCACAACAGCTGCAGTTACTACTCTGGGCCTGTAGTAAGTCCGAGATTGGGGTTGTCTCCATAGGAAGGTGATGAAGATGTGTATGGGGAAGTCCGAGAAGAAGCTTCTGATGATGACATGGAAGGAGATGAGGCTGTTGTGCGCTGCACCCTCTCGGCTAATGTAAGTACAGTCTCTGTCCTGCTGTAAGCCAGCTAATTTCTGGGTGTAGCACTTCCTCCTACTAAAAAACACACTGGGCTATGCTTGTTTTTTGTTATTTTGTGGGGGAGGGGGCAGTACCGGGGATTGAACCCAGGGTTTGGGCATGCTAGACAAGTGCTCCACTACTGACTGATTCTCATCTTTTTGGGTTGTGGAGCCTTTTGTTGTTTTGAGACAGGAACTTGCTCTGCAGCCCAGACTGGCCTCAAACTTTTGATGTCTTGTTCTCAAGTATTGAGATTATAGACATGCCCGTGCCTGTTCCAGATTTTCTTTTGATGGATATTTGATTTTTTTAAATTTGATATGTAGATAATACTGCAAAGACAACAATATTAAAGTATTTTTGTTTGTTTGTTGTCCTGGGGTTGAACTTACTGTCTTGTGCATGGTGAATGCTCCAGCAGTGAGTTACACAGCTCCAGGCTTTAAAGAAACTTAATTTTTTTTCTTTTATTTTGAGAAAGGGCCTCACTAAGTTGACTAGGCTGGACTTAACACTTACCCATGCAGGCCTGGAGCCACTAACCTGAGGGGCGTGTGTGTGTGTGTGTGTGTGTGTGTGTGTGTGTGTGTGTGTGTGTGTGTTGTTTTCTGAGATAGAACTTGATGGACAGCTCAGACTGATCTGGAATTTGGAATCTCCTGCATCAGCCTCCTCAATACTGGAATTACAGATGTTCTACCAAGCTCAGTTTGAGCCTTAAACATTTAGCATTTTCATTTTCTTAGGATTTTAGTCAGTTGTTACTCTTCCCAAATATGTGGGTTAATGAAATCTTAGTATGGTGTGCGCCTGAATTCAGTGTAATAGAGCTGTTTCCTTCCGGAAAGGCCTTAGAAGGTAGCCTGTGGGATGACAGGTAAGGTTGTTGCATGATGTTAATGATGAAGAGACCTAGTAAGCCCAGTGCCTGCTTTCCTTGTAAGCTCGTAGCTTCGGGAGAACTGATGAGTTCGAAGAAGAAGGATTTACACCCTCGGGATATTGATGCATTCTGGCTGCAGCGACAGCTCAGTCGTTTCTATGATGATGCCATTGTGTCGCAGAAGAAGGCAGATGAGGTGTTGGAGATTTTGAAGGTATGGCCAAGATGGTATTTCTATTCCGTGTATCTTTTCGGAAAGGGTCAGTGTTTAGAAGATAGCTGTCCTTACCACAGTACCACCAGTGCAGGGCCACCAGTACAGGGCCAGTGTTTGAAGTAGCGGGTGGCTGTGTTCTTACTGTTGGTGTTATTCGCTCTCTCCAGACAGCCAGTGATGACCGAGAATGTGAGAACCAACTGGTTCTGCTCCTTGGTTTTAACACTTTTGACTTCATTAAAGTGTTGCGGCAGCACAGGATGATGAGTGAGTAGACAGTGCACTTTTCTTGCTTGCTCTGTGTGTGTGTGTGTGTGTGTGTGTGTGTGTGTGTGTGTGTGTGTGTGTACATTCAGTTGTGGCTGGATTGTGTGTGGGGGGGGCACAGGTCTGTCCGTCCACACATTCAACTGTGAATAGATTGTGTTGCTTCTTGGACTTCAGCATTTAATGACCTTCTTTTTGCTCAGGAATAAACGTTATTTCATTCTCTCTGTCCCACTTTCTCTCTTTCCCTATCGTGTTTGGCAGTTTTATACTGTACCTTGTTGGCCAGTGCTCAGAGTGAAGCTGAGAAGGAAAGGATCATGGGAAAGATGGAAGCTGACCCAGAGCTTTCCAAGTTCCTCTATCAGCTCCATGAGACTGAGAAGGAAGACCTGATCAGAGTGAGTCCTGGTTTGTTTTCTCACTCCTTTCAGTGTCTGGAGGTAATAAAGCCTGTCTTTGGTTCCCTGGAGTTTGTCAGGTGTAAAGTCGAGTCAGCACACGCATCGTTATGGTTGTGGCACTGTCTTCTCCTAGCACCATGGGGACCAGGAAAGGAACATGCTTAATATAGAACTTGAACTTCCATGCCTTGGGTGTAGCCTTGGTGGGTAATTGTAGACTGTCTACCTCTGACATCCTGTTTAGAACATTGTACCTTCATTGTGTTTTTTTCCTTTTTTTTTTTTTTTTTTTTTTTTTTTTGTGGTATCTTTGGGTTTGGGGACACAGGTAGCACCTGTGAGTGAAACCCAACCCAGAAGGGACTAGAAGGGACAAGAACCCAGGGGAGTGATGATCATTGTGCTTTTCTCTTTCCCTGCTTTAGGAAGAAAGGTCCCGGAGAGAGAGAGTCCGTCAGTCCCGAATGGACACAGATCTGGAGACCATGGATTTGGACCAGGGTGGAGAGGTGAGTGCTGGGCTATTCCCAGGCTGTGGTGGATGGGAAGCTCACCTGCTCAGCCTGTCACTGTTTCCCTGTTCATAGGCTCTGGCTCCACGTCAGGTTCTGGATTTGGAGGACCTTGTTTTTACACAAGGGAGCCACTTCATGGCCAACAAGCGCTGCCAGCTGCCTGATGGGTCCTTCCGACGCCAGCGGAAGGGCTATGAGGAGGTGCATGTGCCTGCTTTGAAGCCCAAGCCCTTCGGCTCAGAAGAAGTGAGTGAACTGCTTTTCTCAATTCTGTTCTGTCTCTTCTTTTCCAGTTTGGCTTTTAGCCATGGACTAAAAATGTTATCTTGTCTCAAGGATAATACATTCTGGAGGTGGAAACTGTTCCAGAGTTTTCTGATTCTGAGACAAGGAAGTAATAGTGATCTCTCTGGACAGCTTTATAATGGAGAATTCTGAACAATGATTGCCAGGGAATAAAGTTATGGGGAATCACAAAATGATATCATAGTAATCTTACAAGAATGGTAATTTTATAAGAAATCTTACAAAAATGAACAGCCTGCTGGAGGATCCATAGCATAAAGTGTGGGGACATTTCTTCCTCTAGCAATTGCTCCCTGTGGAGAAGCTACCAAAGTATGCCCAGGCAGGATTTGAGGGCTTCAAAACACTGAACCGGATCCAGAGTAAACTCTACCGTGCTGCCCTGGAGACAGATGAGAATCTGCTGCTGTGTGCTCCTACTGTAAGCATTGTCCTGCCGATTTTTCTGTCTTGGAAAGTTTGGGTGGCAAGTCGAATCTTAATCTTTACACTAGGCTTTATTCTTTGTGTTTTTTTGAGGTAGGGTCTCACTATATAGCCCTGGCTATCCCAGTACTCACTATGTAGAACAGGCTGCCCTTAAGCTCACAGAGGTCTGCCTGTCTTTCTCTGCCTCTGCCTCCCGAGTGCTGGGATTAAAGGGGTGGCATACCATGCCTGGCTATTCTCTATTCTGTTGTGGAAGACATGGGGCAATCCAGCGGTCAGTTCTCTCTCTGGTTTGGTGCTAGCCCGTGGAAGTCAGGCCAGTAGCCATAAGCAGATGAACAGACCTTGTCTCTGACCTGCCTCTAGGGTGCTGGGAAGACCAACGTGGCCCTGATGTGTATGCTGCGAGAGATAGGGAAACACATCAACATGGATGGCACGATCAATGTGGATGACTTCAAGATTATCTACATAGCTCCTATGCGCTCCTTGGTGCAGGAGATGGTGGGCAGCTTTGGAAAGGTAAGTCGCAGCTTTTTTAGAAGATACTTGCCGAAGATGTCCATGAAGTGGGGAGGGGTCTATGTGTCACTGTTTCTTTGGTTAGGGAATCTTTGGGTATTTTTTGCCATTTCCAGGTAGAACTTGACCCAAGTAATTTCTGAAGCAAAAATATCTTGGCCTCTCTTACATGGACTCCATCTTTCTTTGATCATCTCCATAGTGGTTTTGGAGTCATTGTATCTTAAAGTAGTTCTGGCACATGGATATGGTCAATAGCTTGTGGGTTGTTACTCCGGTTCCATTTTCCTATATGTGTCCATTTTCCTGCTTCATGTAGGACTCCTAGAGATCCTTTGCCTCATCTACCTGAGTGGAACTGAACTTGTTTAAATAATATTTGTTCATCTTTCCTTATTCACCAGATACTTAGCTTCTCCCAGTCCCCAGCCCAGAAGCTGCTGCCAGGCCCTTCAAGCACCATCTACCCGACTTTGCACACATTAGTCAAGCCCCTGCCACTGAGCTGTACTTCCAGCCCCATCATTTGTCACTGCTGATGATCCTTTCTTCCCCAGCGACTGGCCACATATGGCATCACCGTTGCTGAGCTGACTGGAGATCACCAGCTGTGCAAGGAAGAAATCAGTGCCACACAGATCATCGTCTGCACCCCTGAGAAGTGGGACATCATCACACGCAAAGGCGGGGAGCGTACCTATACTCAGCTGGTGCGGCTCATTGTCTTGGTGAGTGGGGAGAGTGAAGGGAAGGAGAGACCAGCTGTGGTCAGGGAGTGTTTGCTGCTCTTGTGGTGGGGTGAACCTGGGAGAGCAGGGCCTAAAAATGAGGTGGACTAAAGTCTCCTGCAACAGCCAACTTTATTCAGAGCATCGGGCAATTTATACTCTGAGGGTTAAGAAGATTCACCTGAGTAAGGTGTTCAGTCACAAGGACAAGCCATACATGGCAAAAACGTATTTCCCCTTAGAGACACATGACCAACAAGAGTGGAAGTCAACTCACTCCTGCCCACTACACCTGGGAGGAGCACAGAATACATTCCAAGAGCAGTTCGGTGATTTTGAGGAAACTGAGGTCACCAGACTCTTGTTTTCTCATAAGCGACTCAAAATTCTCACACAACTCCATTATTGGACTGTATTCTGACAGGGGAGGATTTGCTGTTTACCAGTTCTGTTTCTCAAGGCCTTTCTCTGTGCACTTTCCTTCATAAGAGCCATTGAGAGCTTTACTGTTACCATTAGCCCAGAATCTGAATGGCCCAGAAGCTTCCCTCCCAGGCAGCACGTGATATTTGCCACGTTCCACTTACCTCACCCCCCCCCCCCCCCCCCCCCCCCCCCCCCCGGTGTTTCGAGACAGTCCTACCTGTAGAATCTGAAATATTTTGAATCAAATGGAAACACAAAAAAATAGTTTTGTCCTCCCAAGAACATTGAAATGCTTTATGAACAACAATCCGTTGTCACACAAGACAAGTAAGGAATTGGGTCACTGCATTCCATGTACATAGAAGCAGCCACAGGAAATGGACTTTGAGCCAAGTGTTGATTGTTTTGTTTTGTTTTTTTCGAGACAGGGTTTCTCTGTGTAGCTTTGGAGCCTGTCCAGGAACTCACTCTATAAACCAGGCTAGCCTTGAACTCACAGAGATCCACCTGCCTCTGCCTCCCGAGTGCTGGGATTAAAGGCGTGAGCCACCACTGCCCGGCTGATTCTTGTTTTTTTTTTTTTTAATTAATTGCATTTGTTTGTTCTCTGTGATATTGTACTGTGTGTGTGTGTGTGTGTGTGTGTGTGTGTGTGTGTGTGTGTGTGGAACACACATGAGTGTAGGTGAGAGTACAACTTGTGAGAGTCAATTCTCTCCTTCCACCGTGTGTGTTCTTGGAATCAAGCTCAAGCCATCAGAGTTGGCAGTAAAGTACCTTTACTCACTGAGCCATTTCACCAGCCTCTGAGGGTTGATTCATTACGGTGTCTAAGAAAATAGTTCATGCTGTGTTCAGAGTGGGAGGTGGCAAGCTGTGGCATCACATTTTTGATTCATTGAACACAGTCTTTTTGTTTTATTGAACACGGTCATGTGGACTGGTTTCTGTATTATCTCTAGCTACTCTTGTCCTGTGTGTTGCTGTGGCAGAACTGAGTATTTGTAACAAGGGTTACGTGGCTCACAAGCCTATGGCATTGCGTGTGCGGTACCTGAGGTCCATTAGAAAAGTTTGCTAACCCTTCTTTAGAGCTTTGCTCCTCCATGCCTCTCCTACAGCATAGCTGCTCCCTAGGAGTGCCGAGTCCCTGGCCTGCCCACATCCGTGCGTTCTATTTACATTTCCACATGTCCAGGTCTTCCAGTGCATACTGTATGTGAGAAGCACTGCTGTCGGCAATGTGAACTTACTGTAAGTGAAGCCTGGTGAAGTTTTTGTTCTTGATGAAGAGACCTTCCCAAAAGTGAAGGCTTGATTGATACAGCCTGGTCAGAACCATCATATATTTGTAGGGAGATACATGGTAAAGTGGAGGACTGCCTCACAAGTGTCTAAGCAGTCAGTGCTAATTCCTACTAAAAGCTGTCTTTGTTCTTTAGGACTCTGGCGTGAGGCTCCCTTTTTTGTCTTCATTAGGGTCTTAGGCTATATATACTTCTACAACAGACTAGTCTCAAGGGAGGAGGTATAGCTGTGGTACAGTTTGCTGTCTTTCGATTCCTTAGGATGAGATCCATCTTCTACATGATGACAGAGGTCCTGTCTTAGAAGCTTTGGTGGCCAGGGCCATCCGAAACATTGAGATGACCCAAGAAGATGTCCGACTCATTGGTCTCAGCGCTACCCTCCCCAACTATGAAGATGTGGCTACCTTTCTGCGTGTTGACCCTGCCAAGGGCCTCTTCTACTTCGACAACAGGTATAAGAAGAGACTGGAAACTTGTTACCAAGGTGTCTTCCTTTCCTCTTCCCTTCTCTAAGGAGCACACTAAAGGAGTTTTAGGGGTCCTGTGTGTATTTTAAAAAGCATTATTGCTTCTAGGTCAATGGAAAGTTACTTTTTTCCCCACAGTATTCTCTGCTGGAAATCTCATTTGTATAACTCTTGAACTTCTAGCTTCCGCCCAGTGCCTCTGGAACAGACATATGTGGGCATCACAGAGAAAAAAGCTATCAAGCGTTTCCAGATCATGAATGAAATAGTCTATGAGAAAATCATGGAACATGCTGGAAAAAATCAGGTTTGTTGATGCTTCTTGAACCTTTTCTGTTTTTGACATAAGCAAAATTGACAAGATAATAGCATGACTTGCCAATGGTCATAAATGACATGAGTTATTACTACAAAAATTGCCTTAAAATATAGACAGGAGCTGGGCGGTGGTGGCGCACGCCTTTAATCCCAGCACTCGGGAGGCAGAGCCAGGAGGATCTCTGTGAGTTCAAGGCCAGCCTGGTCTACAGAGTGAGTGCCAGGACAGGCTCCAAAACTACACAGAGAAACCCTGTCTTGAAAAACAACACACACACACACACACACACACACACACACACACACACACAGGTATCAAAAATAAAGCTGCAAATTAAAATCTAGTGAAAGCAGTCCAGTGAGATGACTCTGCAGGTAAAGTGCTTGTCCCTAAGACTGGTGACTTGAGTCTGATCCCCAGAAACCGCATGGTGGAAGGTAACTCCTCTGACCTCTATAGGTGTGCTGTGGCATGCACGAATGTTACACACACAAAATAAATAAATAAGCAACAAAAAAACCCAAACACACTGTGGGGCATGATGGTGCATGCCTTAGAGTTCAAGGCCAGCATGCTCTGCATGGTGAGTTCCAGTCTAGCCAGGGATATATAGTGGAACCCTGTCTCAGACAGAACACTAATGAAAGTACATTTTGTTTGGAAGTTGAACAGAGCTTAGGCAAGAGGTGTAAGAGGTTATGCATTTCTTTTTCTGATGAAAAGCACAGGAGTTTATAGGACAAGACTTCAGGACTAGATCTTAGGAGGACTATATTCCTTATAATATGGTGCTAGTTTCAAACTTACTCCCTAAATCTTTTTTATAAATAACGTAATTGTTTTGCTATTTTCTTTTTTTTAAATTTATTTTTATTTTATGTGCATTGCTCTTTTGCCTGCATGTATGTCTATGTGAGGGTGTCAGATCCCCTGGAACTGGAGTTACAGACAGTTGCAAGCTGCATGTGGTGCTAGGAATTGAACTCGGGACCTCTGGAAGAGCAGCCAGTGCTCTTAACTACTGAGCCATCTCTCCAGCCCCATAGTTTTACTATTATCTTACAAACACATCTTTATTTGGCTTAGACTTGGTAGGCCTCTGAACATAGTCTTAGTTGAGGTCTCTGAATCGTCATACACTGCCTATTTAAGTTTGCTGTTCAAGGTAGAATTCTAGGGTTAGATTAGTTTCTCAGCTGTAAGACCGTGTCACTATCCTTGGTAAATTCCTTTTCCTTGAGTCATTCTGTTTTGTTCTTTTGAGACATGATTTTGCTGTGTATCCTGGGCTAGGCTTGAACTCTCTGAGTAGTCAGACTAGCCTGGCTTAGCCATAACCTACAGTGCAGGAATTATAGGTGGAGTCACCATGCCCAGCTTCCGTTTGGGTAGCGTCAACCTTGTTAGACTTTTTTCCAATCCAGCATGTGTTTTTGCCATCAACTCTTTCTAAATCATGGCTTCCAGTTAGAGTGGAGCAGCCTCTGCTTCCTGCAGCTGGTGCCCTGGTGCTGTGTGAGCCGTTGCTGAAAGCACATGCCTTAGCTATACCCCAATTCTCCTTAGGTGCTGGTGTTTGTCCACTCTCGCAAAGAAACTGGGAAGACAGCCAGGGCAATCCGTGACATGTGCCTGGAGAAGGACACCTTGGGTCTGTTTCTTCGAGAGGGTTCTGCCTCCACTGAAGTCCTTCGTACAGAAGCAGAACAGTGCAAGGTAAAAAGGGGCTACCTGCTTTTCAGGCTTGTGCCTGGTGACTGGGTCCGTATTGCCGGATAGATTCCTTTGGGACTGTACGCACCAAGTGCTACTGTTTCAGATAGGTTAAGAGTAATTGGGGGCTAGGGGGATGACTCAGCATATAAAGGTGGTGCCTGTTGCCAAGACTGATGGCCTGAGTTCAATCTCAGGGACTCATATAGTGGAGGGAGAGAACTGACTCCCATGGGTTTTTCTCTGACCTCCACATACCTGCCACACACAAACATACATACAAACATAAGTCCATACATTTTTGTAAAAAGTGACTATATGTAGTTATGGGGGCTCCTGTGCAAAGGTCTCCTTTGGCCCTGGAGGAGTTCCATAGGGAGGCTGGCCTCACTTTATGACTTTTTTCTGTTCACAGAACTTGGAGCTGAAGGATCTTTTGCCCTATGGCTTTGCTATTCATCATGCAGGCATGACCAGAGTTGATCGAACACTTGTTGAAGATCTTTTTGCTGACAAACATATTCAGGTGAGGAGCGGCAAAACTTGAAAGAGCAGGCGACGTAGACTTTAGAGCATCTGAAATGTCAGTAGCTCTGCCCTTAGTGGGATCCTTAGACTTTTTTTTTTTTAACATTCATTTATATGTATTGTGTGTGTGTGTGTGTGTCTTGCATGAGTTTATGTGCACTATATGCATGCAGGTGCTTTCTGAGGCCAGAAGAGGGCACTAGATCCCCTGGAGCTGGAGTTACATATTGTTGTGAGCAGTTTTGGTTTCTGGGACCTGAAGCCCAGTCCTCTGCAAGAGTAGTGCATGCTCCAACCACTGAGCCACTCTCCATCCCTAGACTTTTTGGTATCTGGACCAGCTAGCCCAGGCTGGAAGGTTGTGGTAGTTATGCTGTCTCTCCCAACACTTCATATACTGCATGAGGGATGATGGATGGGTCATAGAACTCTACACTATAATTCATGGGGTCAGGACCACATTCTTCCCTCTTCCAGGATGGTGGATTTCCAGTATCTTGTAACTAAGTTGATTAATACAAGTCTAAGTTTCTGACCTTTAAGTGTCTCTGGAACCTTGGTATATTAATTAATTAATTAATTTTTTTTTTTGGCTTTTTCAAGACAAGGTTTCTCTGTGTAGTTTTGGTGCCTGTCCTGGATCTTGCTGTGTAGACCAGGCTGGCCTCGAACTCACAGAGATCCACCTGGCTCTGCCTCCCGAGTGCTGGGATTAACGGTGTGCGCCACCACTGCCCAGCACTAATTCTTAAATATAGAAGGGACTAAAGCAACTCTTTTTTGCTCCAGTGTCACACTGAGCACTGAGGGATACATCTACTCCTACCTCCAGTTAAGTTCAGAAGCCAGATAAGCCAGGGATGTGACCCTGCTGTGGTAGTGTATGTTTTCCTCATTGCCCTCCTTTGCCTCTCCAGGTTTTAGTTTCCACAGCAACTCTGGCTTGGGGTGTAAATCTCCCTGCACATACAGTCATCATCAAAGGCACCCAGGTGTACAGTCCAGAGAAGGGGCGTTGGACAGAGCTGGGAGCACTGGATATTCTGCAGGTACAGAGCCTCTGAGATGATTCCCAACAGGATGAGCATCCTGTGCCTGGAGCACAAGGATGTAGGAAAGATGGCAGATCAAGGCCAAGTTCTAAATGTGTAGACTCTTGTCAAAAGCTCTGCTATGACATTTTCTTTTATTGATTCTGACTTAGATGCTGGGCCGTGCTGGACGACCTCAGTATGACACCAAGGGTGAAGGTATACTCATCACGTCTCATGGAGAGCTACAGTACTACCTCTCTCTCCTCAACCAGCAACTTCCTATTGAGAGCCAGATGGTATCCAAGCTGCCTGACATGCTCAATGCGGAAATCGTGCTGGGGAACGTCCAGAACGCAAAGGTAGGGCAGGCTGTGACTTGGAGCTTATGCTCTTCCTCTGTGCCTCAAGAGACTTGGAGTGTGTGCCTCCTGTGAGGATGCTGAGGGCCAGCAGCCGTGTCTCGAACTCTGAACCACACACCTCATGCAGGGCAAGCTTCTTGGCTTTGTGACAGATAGTTCGTTTGTGTTTAAGATACTTGAAAAGGGTTTTTTTTTTTTTTTTCTTAATTGAAATACTGAAAACATCCAGAAGACACTGTAAATTGTGTCCTTGTGCTTGAAAATTAATGTTCAGGCTATTTGTGGGGCTTTTCTTTGGAAATTAGCAGCTCTTCATGCTAAACTCCATGAGCTGTCTTGCAGGATGCGGTGAACTGGCTGGGCTACGCTTACCTGTACATCCGAATGCTCCGGTCCCCGACCCTCTATGGCATCTCTCATGATGACCTCAAAGGAGATCCCTTGCTGGACCAGCGCCGACTAGATCTTGTTCACACTGCTGCTTTGATGCTGGACAAGAACAATCTGGTCAAGTACGACAAGAAAACAGGCAACTTTCAGGTGATTAGCATGTGTTTTTTTGAGAACATTTTAGCAAAAATTGAGGCATCTGTGTACTGCCTGTCTAATTACCTGTTGTCCTGAATGGGGATTAGATTGGGCTCTTTGAGCTATCAATTTAACTTTCAAATTTCTACTTACTTTTAAAATTTTACTGTTTATGTATGTGCATGAGTGTTTTGCCTGTGTGTTTGTCTGTGTACCTCAGCTGTGCCTGGTCCTCACAGAGGCCTGAAGAGGGCACTGGCTGCTCTGGGACTGGAGAGGATTGTGAGCCACTATGTGGGTACTGGAAATTGAACCACAGTTCTGGAAGAGCAGCCATCCCTCACTCAACCATCTCTCCAGCCCTTAGATTTTAAAAATGGTACATAGTTCTCCAAGTTTGAGTTGAGGTAGGTCATTCGGCCATTTGGTTTATGTGAACATCAGCTCTCCATAGGTCATTTTCTTGTTCCATCTTTCTTTTTGTGCCCGAGTCACTTGTGTTGGGCAGGCAGTTGTACCACAAGGAATTCATCCACTTGTCGTCTTAAGACAGTCACTTGATGCTAGAAGTTGGGGGCTGATCACTGGTCAGCCTTGTACTGAGTCTTCCTTCTTTCTAGGTGACAGAACTTGGCCGGATAGCTAGTCACTACTATATCACCAATGATACTGTGCAGACCTACAACCAGCTGCTGAAGCCTACTCTGAGTGAGATTGAGCTTTTCCGAGTGTTCTCCTTGTCCTCAGAGTTCAAGAACATCACTGTGAGGGAGGTGAGCCTATGAGCATGCCGGGACAGGAGTTGGGGTCCCTGCCAGGCTGCTGGATGGCTTCTTTCCTTGACCCTTGCCCTGTGGATTTTCTATGGCCTGTCTTTCCTTGTGGCAGGAGGAGAAGCTGGAGCTGCAGAAGTTGCTGGAGAGGGTGCCCATCCCTGTAAAGGAGAGCATCGAAGAACCCAGTGCTAAGGTAAGTGCATCTTCACTTTCAGATATGAATGTTCAGTTTCCAAAGGATGGACTTTGAACTTGGTTTCATACTTGGAAATTCGTGTATGAAGTACATGCACAGTTCTCTTTACTCTTTGGAGGGTGTTAGGGTTGACCTATCATGTGCTGTACTACTGACTGTGCCCCACTCCCCAGTTTCCTACTCTGCTGCCTTCCCACGTATGCTTTATATGGAATAATAATGATTTAACATGGAAATCAAGAACTATGGAAGTCCTGTTTGGCACATGCAGTGGAGCAGAAATGCAACTCCTTTCTCAGATTGTCAGTGACGGGCCTTGCTAGCTGTCCTTGCTTCTTTGCAGATCAACGTGCTTCTCCAAGCCTTCATCTCACAGCTGAAACTGGAAGGCTTTGCACTGATGGCTGACATGGTGTACGTGACACAGGTGAGGGCCAGGTGCACGAGTGATGAGCTGTGGGCCTTGAAGAAAGGTCCTTCTGCTTGTCCCAGCGGGCCAGCTGCTTGCCGCCACTTCCCCTGCTGAGCTTGAGTGTGTGGGAAGGACAGGCCTTACAAAGTGCTAAGAAGTTCTGTAGGTGCTTGTAGAGAGATCCACTGGGCACGTCATCTTCTCCAAGAAAAATGACTCCCCATTGTAGCTGTGGTGTTCATAAAAAATGACAAAATATTTTATTGATTACTCCATCTTGACCTGGAAGGGTAGGAGACAGAAACTTTTGCTTCTGAATTGGTCTGAGTGATTGCATCAGATCTTGTGATGGTCATGCCGTGGTAGACAGGCCACAGAGGTTTCACAATGGAAATACTTGTCTTTCCTCAGTCTGCTGGCCGCTTGATGCGTGCAATCTTCGAAATTGTCCTGAACCGAGGTTGGGCACAGCTTACAGATAAGACCCTGAATCTCTGCAAGATGATCGACAAACGCATGTAAGGGCTCAGAGAGCCAGAGGCTGTTCCCTGTGAGTTTGGGCCTCAGTGCATTTGATGTCCAGTCCTGTTGGCCAAGATGTGGCACGAACCTGGGTGAAAGTTGAGAAGGCAGTGCCCTCTAGAATACAGGTCTGGGGAGGTGGGGGAGAATAGCCAGGATTGGTTGTCTGGTCTCTCTCCTGGCAGTTTCCGACATCTTTCTTTCTTTTTTTTTTGGTTTTTTGTTTGTTTGTTTGTTTGTTTTTTTGAGACAGGGTTTCTCTGCGTAGTTTTGGTGCCTTTCCTGGATCTCACTCTGTAGCCCAGGCTGGCCTCGAACTCACAGAGATCCACCTGGCTCTGCCTCCCGAGTGCTGGGATTAAAGGCGTGCGCCACCACCGCCTGGCCCAACATCTTTCTTTAATGATAGGGTCTGTGTGGTTATTCTAAAGCGTTGGAACTGATGAAGGCGGTCTGTCCACAGCCCTAGAGAAAGAGTGAACTAGCTGTGTCTCCTTTCTGGATAGGTGGCAGTCCATGTGTCCTCTTCGCCAGTTCCGTAAACTTCCCGAGGAGGTAGTGAAGAAGATTGAGAAGAAAAACTTCCCCTTTGAGCGGCTCTATGACTTGAATCATAATGAGATAGGTGTGTAGAGTTATTGTCCTGTCTTGTAGCCCAGGCATCTTTCTGTCAGCCTCCTGCTCCCCAGGTCCTAGACCCTGGGCACTGGTACCCCGGGCTTACATCCCACTCTTGTACCAGCTCCCTCTTCAACTCAGGACTTTGAACCATTAGTACTGCACTGAGGCTAAAGCAGGGAACCTGTCTGCTGGTGTGGAATCCGCTCCTTTTCCACAGTTGCCCTACAGCCCTGTTTGCAGAGTTGCTGGACTGGCCCGACAGCAGCCCCAATGCCTTTACTTCCTCTAGGTGAGCTTATCCGAATGCCAAAGATGGGGAAGACCATCCACAAGTATGTCCATCTCTTCCCCAAGTTGGAGTTGTCCGTGCACCTGCAGCCTATTACACGCTCCACCCTGAAAGTAGAGCTGACTATCACACCAGATTTCCAGTGGGATGAAAAGGCAAGGTTTTGTTGGTTAGGGAGGGGGAGGGGGAGTTGCTGAATCCCCTCATTGGCGCATTCTGATTTCACTGGTGCTTGGGTTGGCAGGTCCATGGTTCGTCAGAGGCATTTTGGATTCTAGTGGAGGATGTGGACAGTGAGGTGATTCTGCACCATGAATATTTTCTGCTGAAGGCCAAGTATGCCCAGGATGAGCACCTTATTACGTTCTTCGTCCCAGTCTTCGAACCGCTGCCCCCGCAGTACTTCATCCGAGTGGTGTCTGACCGCTGGCTCTGTGAGTGTCTCCTGAGTCCCCTAGGAACATACCCTCCAAAGATAGTAGTGGACTGCTTGCCTCTGTGGGGAGAGGGATACAGACAGAGCCTAAGGTCTCTAGTGTTCGTGGATAGCGCTGTGGAGGTCTGCTGGAGGATGCTCCCTAACCTTCCATTTCTTCCCTGACAGCTTGTGAGACCCAGCTGCCCGTCTCTTTCCGGCACCTGATCCTTCCAGAGAAGTACCCCCCTCCAACTGAACTGTTGGACCTGCAGCCATTGCCGGTATCTGCTCTAAGAAACAGTGCTTTTGAGAGCCTTTACCAAGACAAATTTCCTTTCTTCAATCCCATCCAGACTCAAGGTAGGTGTCTGAGTCTCAGATATTTGCTTCCCATGCATGCCTTTTTTTCCCCTCTCCTTTTCTCTGCCCCCATCCCCAAGACAGGGTTTCTCTGTCTAACAGCCCTGGCTGTCCTGGAACTCACTCTGTAGACCAGCCCACTGGCCTTGAACTCATAAGAGATCAGCCTGCCTCTGCCTCTAGAGCGCTGGGATTAAAGGTGTGCGCCACCACAGTCCAGACCATGCGTACCTTTTAGGGTTGCCTAGTGATAAATGTCTTGTGCAGCTGGCAGAGAACCAGGCACTTAGTGGGCCTGGACCTTCTCAGCCTGCTGTGGCCTGCCGGAATAGTTTTCTCCCTACAAGTCCTGTTGACTGTTAGATTTGCTTTGCTGCTCTGCATCTCTCCCTAAGGAGGGTCAGGAGAGTAAGGTCTTTCCATGGTGTGCTGGCATTACTCCTGCTCCAGGTGTTGGTGCTGTTCCTGATGCTCCAGTGTTGAACCAGCGTGTGGCACTGATTGAGACCTCACTTCCTCATTAAAAATAATGACTTGTTCACAGAGCAGGCACTGTTCTAAGGACTTGGCTGAGCACAGGACCAGCGTTTTCTTTCCTCCTCCACCAGTCCTTTGAAAGGGTTACTATTTAGTGCATTTCATGATGAGGGAACCGAGGCATAGGAAGGAACTCTAATTAAATGAACCAGTAAATAGGTGAGCTTGGGTCTTTAACCCAGTCTTGATCCCAGGGCCTGGGCCTACCTTCTGTATTTGAGTACTTCTAGAGAATATAGGAGACTGCTGATAGGGCAGAGAAAGGTGTCCTGTCCTCTGTGTGTGTGTGTGTGTGTCCTGTCCTGTGTGTGTGTGTGTGTGTGTCTGTGTCTGTGTGTCTGTGTCCTGGTCCTTGAGGGGCAAAGATGCTGGATTTCTTTTGCTTGTTTTTTCTTGCCACAAATCTCCAGATCTGAACCTGATCTTGGATTTTTCCCTTCCCTGGTGAGAGACAGCTAGACGGGCCAGTGTCCCAGGCTTCTCTTTGTATTGCAGCTGGTTGACTGTGTCTCATGGTGTTCACAGTCTAGACCAGCCAGTGTTCCAGGCTTCTCTTTGTACTGCAGCTGGTTGACTGTGTCTCATGGTGTTCACAGTCTAGACGGGCCAGTGTTCCAGGCTTCTCTTTGTACTGCAGCTGGTTGACTGTGTCTCATGGTGTTCACAGTCTAGACGGGCCAGTGTTCCAGGCTTCTCTTTGTACTGCAGCTGGTTGACTGTGTCTCATGGTGTTCACAGTCTAGACGGGCCAGTGTTCCAGGCTTCTCTTGTACTGCAGCTGGTTGACTGTGTCTCATGGTGTTTACAGTCTAGATGAATGATCTGTTTAATTCTCCCCCCGCACCCCCCCCCCCCCATGTTCACTCTGCATCTTTTGGTTTCCAGTTTTTAACACCGTGTACAACAGTGATGATAACGTGTTTGTGGGGGCCCCCACGGGCAGCGGGAAGACCATCTGTGCCGAGTTTGCCATCCTGCGGATGCTGCTGCAGAATTCTGAGGGGCGCTGTGTCTACATTACCCCCATGGAGGCTCTGGCAGAGCAGGTGTGTAATGTGCTGTGGAGCAGGTGTGTAATGTGCTGTGGAGCAGGTGTGTAATGTGCTGTGGAGCAGGTGTGTAATGTGCTGTGGAGCAGGTGTGTAATGTGCTGTGGAGCAGGTGTGTAATGTGCTGTGGAGCAGGTGTGTAATGTGCTGTGGAGCAGGTGTGTAATGTGCTGTGGAGCAGGTGTGTAATGTGCTGTGGAGCAGGTGTGTAATGTGCTGTGGAGCAGGTGTGTAATGTGCTGTGGAACTGTGAATTTCCCAGAAGCCGTTCCACCTGTGATTCCAGATGCAGGTTTTCGCATATCTGACAACTGCATATCATTTCTTAAAGAAAAGCTGCCCCCCCCCCCCCCCCAAAAAAAGCTGCCCTGTCACTTAAAAGCTGGTGTGGACCATACAGTATTATGAATAGAGTATGGTGATACATGATTGTCATCCCAACTGCTTAGGAGGCTGAGGCAAGAGGTTCACTTGAACCCACAAGTTTGAGGTCAGCCTGGGCCCCCATCTCAAAACAGAAAAAGTAGTGTAAAGTATCTGGCTTCTCAGTTCTCCTCCTAGCAACTGAGAGATGCAGACATGACCTGCTGTTTTTGTCTCCCTCCCCTGCCTGCCAGGTGTACATGGACTGGTATGAGAAGTTTCAGGACAGGCTCAACAAGAAGGTGGTGCTGCTGACGGGGGAGACCAGCACAGACTTGAAGCTTCTGGGCAAAGGCAACATCATCATCAGTACCCCTGAGAAGTGGGACATCCTCTCCCGGAGGTGGAAGCAGCGCAAGAATGTCCAGAACATTAACCTCTTTGTGGTGGATGAGGTCCACCTTATTGGGGGCGAGAATGGGGTATGCTTGACTTTGCAGCATGGAGGAGGGGTGGGACCCACACAGTGACTTTACATTGGGCTTGGAGCCAGGGACTAGGGTCATCACAAAGATTTCTGCCTATCGCCTTATTCCAGAAGGTGATCTGAGCTTTTTTGGATAGAACTCTTAAAGAACAATAAGGTGAAGGTTGTCTCTTGGGGCAGGGGAACCACAGACAGGAGAGCCTGTAATTGGGACAGGCAGGTGGTTCACAAAGGGAAGCTCAGGCAGAAGATGGAGAACCCGGGCCTGGAATGACTCCTTCCCTTTTCCCAGCCTGTCTTGGAAGTGATCTGCTCTCGGATGCGCTACATCTCCTCCCAGATTGAGCGGCCCATTCGCATTGTGGCACTCAGCTCATCACTCTCCAATGCCAAGGATGTGGCTCACTGGCTGGGCTGCAGTGCCACCTCCACCTTCAACTTCCACCCTAATGTGCGCCCTGTACCTTTGGAACTGCACATCCAGGTAGGACCCTGTCTCTACTCCTCCATGGCCTCAGGGATCCCTCCTTCTTCAGGTCCAGTGACCTCAGTGTCTTGTCTTCTCCCTTTGTTTTCAGGGCTTCAACATCAGCCATACCCAGACTCGCCTGCTATCTATGGCCAAGCCTGTGTACCATGCTATCACCAAACACTCACCCAAGAAGCCTGTCATCGTTTTTGTCCCATCTCGCAAGCAGACCCGTCTCACCGCGATAGACATCCTCACTACCTGTGCAGCAGACATCCAGCGGCAGAGGTGGGGTGTGCTCTAATTTCTGGGGTGGGTAGGTGCACGAGGATCATGTTTAGTGAAGCTGCCCCCTGCTCTGGGTGTCCTGGGTGAGGCAGGGACTGAGGCTGGGCCCACTACATACTGCAATGCCTCTGACCTGTGCTTGTTCTTGTTCTGCCCAGGTTCTTACACTGTACTGAGAAGGATCTGATCCCTTACCTGGAGAAGTTAAGTGACAGCACGCTCAAGGAAACACTGTTAAATGGGGTGGGCTACCTACATGAAGGACTGAGCCCCATGGAGAGGCGCCTGGTAGAGCAGCTCTTTAGCTCAGGTAAGAAAACCTCATGGCAACCAAAGCTGTCCCAGTTGTATGTATTAAACTTTAGGATGTGGATGGCATTTCTCTTTTGAATAGTATTCATTTCACAGTGCTAACAGACTACTGTATGTCTTACCTCATTAGATTCCTCTTAAACGCGTATGATGTAGTTGAGAGAGATACCCCTCCTTGCAAGGTTAGAAAGCAGGCAGGCACATAAGCTGGTCCCATTTCAGAACCTGGTTTTCTGGGGTTTGGGGCCACTGGCCAGTAGACCTTAGTTCTGTGTGGATACAAGACTGGTGGGGTTAGAACTCGAGATGGCTGTGGATTTGTGATTCTTCTCTGGTTGGTTGCCTCTCGTCTGCTGCCCTTTGTTGACCTGTGGCATTTTATGCCTTGTTCACTGTTCTGGCGCTATGTGGCAGAGCCTTGGTGTAGCTGATCCCGCCAGTCTCTCACTCTTTGAATCTGCCTGGTTTGGGTGTGCTGAGAGTAAGTTTGGTTTTGCTGTCTTTGGCTAACTTACCATGATTGGGTTGGTGTTAGCTTTCACCATCAGAGGCTGATCCACCAGGCAGTGCGGGTCTTGCTTTCCCTGGGTTTGAGTTCTCTAGAATTGCTTTGTTTCTTCTAGGATAGTCAATAGTGTGGTGCTGCCTTTCCCCGCACTTCATTAGTGTCAGACCTTGTTCCTAGACAGCCTCACTCAGAGCTTTGAAATGGAGCACAAGGTTGGCCGCTGCCTGCCAGTGAGGCAGATAGTTTCTGGAAACCCTGTCCTCAGTCTTCCTCTCTCTTCCCATGCTTAGGGGCGATCCAGGTGGTGGTGGCTTCTCGAAGTCTCTGCTGGGGTATGAATGTTGCTGCTCATCTAGTGATCATCATGGATACGCAGTACTACAATGGCAAGATCCATGCGTGAGTATAGTTGCTGTGGACATTAACAGCTCCCCCTCCTAAAACCAGTGTAAATCTACAGACACAGTCTAAGGAACTAAACATAGTCTAGAGTCCCTGTAGATCAGGGTTAATTTTGGGGTCCCAGGAGGTAGACTTCTTTTTAGTCATTGTACCTCTATCTCAGCAGTTTGGAGAGAAGACCTTAGAGACAGCAGGAAAGGGGGGTTGTTAACCTACTTCCCACAAGGTCACACCTTTGTCGGTTTGCTGTTTCTCACAGCCTGAATAACTTTTTTTTTTTTTTCCAAAAATGCAGATTATTTTGAAATTAGTTTTGTGAGTTTAAAATGTCTGAATCTGGTTCTTGCTTTGGGATTTAGATTACTTTTTAATCTGAAACACACAGCCCTTAAACTTGACTTTAAGTGTGGTCCTTTAATAGGATGTTATTTTGCTTCTGGCCTTAGGTAGGTTTGCGGCTTTGGTTCAAGTTCATTGAGTAACACATGCATGACTCTTTCACTTAGAAACTAAAATAATGTGTAGGTAAGCAAATGAAATGCATCACTAAGCACACAGGTTCAGGACCAGTTTTGCTTTAGTTTGACCTTCTCTCCCTGCCTTCATCTTCTGTCCCTGTGGCTGAAGACAGACAGGCAGGCCTCCTGACATGTTTCCTGTTTCTCTCTTCTGCCCCCAGCTATGTGGACTACCCCATCTATGATGTGCTTCAGATGGTGGGCCATGCCAACCGCCCCCTGCAGGATGACGAGGGGCGCTGTGTCATCATGTGCCAAGGCTCTAAAAAGGTCAGTTAGGAGACCTTGAGCCTTTGAACAGATTCTCGAATCTTTTCTGAAATGTCTTTAATAAACTTTTCAGTCCTTTCTGTCAGTTGCTTTTGTAACAAGCTGGAGCCAACACAGAATTTTGTTCTTTGTTTTTGCTCCTGCTGGTGATTCCATGTCTCCACCGGTTAGTTGTCTTTCTTCATGCATTGCTTCCTGCTCCAGCTATGTGGCTTGGCGTGTCCCACTCCTGCTCTGTATTACATGAACTGTTTTCTAAGTGTCTCTTCTATTCGGCTGTTATATACATAATCACACAGAGGCCATTCATTCCCTGTTGGGTTGCCCTTCATCCTTTATGATCATGTTGTCATCGATTCTTTTTTAATGTCCCCCTCCCCCAATCCACAGGATTTTTTCAAAAAGTTTTTATATGAGCCATTGCCAGTAGAGTCTCACCTGGACCACTGTATGCATGACCACTTCAATGCTGAGATAGTCACCAAGACCATTGAGAACAAGCAGGATGCTGTGGACTACCTCACCTGGACCTTTTTATATCGCCGAATGACACAGAACCCCAATTACTACAACCTTCAGGGTCAGTGAACTAAAGAGCACACACTGCCCTTGGAGGTTTTCACAGCTCTTGCTAGGCAATATCTTGAGACTTCCCTCTTACATCTCCACAGGCATATCTCATCGTCACTTGTCTGACCACTTGTCAGAGCTGGTAGAGCAGACCCTCAGTGACCTGGAGCAGTCCAAGTGCATCAGCATCGAGGATGAGATGGATGTGGCCCCTCTGAACCTGGGCATGATCGCTGCCTACTATTACATAAACTACACCACCATTGGTGAGGACCAGTGGTGCATGGGCTTCTGAGTCTGTTGGGATGAGATGTGATAGCCAGTATTTGTCAGAGAGATGAAACTGCAAGAAAGCAGTGCCGCCAGGCAGTTGATTCTTGTTAGTCTGTTCCTTTCCCCCTCTCAATTGGCTCTTCCCACATTCTCTCATTTTCTTTCAGAGCTCTTCAGCATGTCTCTCAATGCTAAAACCAAGGTTCGAGGACTTATTGAGATTATTTCCAACGCGGCAGAGTATGAGAACATTCCCATCAGGCATCATGAAGACAACCTGCTACGCCAGGTGAGGGCATCTGCTTTAGAAGACCATTCAGGAGTAAAAATTTGGCCCATATACCAAAGCACATGGCTTCCTGTCACAAATACCCTCATACATTTCTCTTACCTCTCTCAACCTCATACAGCCTTCCCTCTAGAGTCGGGCAGGGCCACATGGTGTGTTTGACCTGAACAGGTCTCAGGTAGGGTCCTCTGTTTATCACCAGCTTTTTTTCTTTCCCATCTAGTTGGCTCAGAAGGTTCCCCACAAGCTGAATAACCCCAAGTTCAATGATCCACACGTGAAGACCAACCTGCTACTGCAGGCTCACCTGTCCCGAATGCAGCTGAGTGCCGAACTGCAGTCAGACACTGAGGAAATCCTTAGTAAGGTAATGTGGGTGGGGTTTGGAGGTTCACTGGCCAGTGGGGGCCTCAGAAGACTGGCTTCCCAGCCCACCTGCTCTTATATTCCCTCTCCATACAGGCAATCCGGCTCATTCAGGCCTGTGTGGATGTACTCTCTAGCAATGGGTGGCTCAGCCCTGCTCTGGCAGCCATGGAACTGGCTCAGATGGTCACCCAAGCCATGTGGTCTAAGGACTCCTATCTGAAGCAGCTGCCACACTTTACCTCAGAGCATATCAAACGTTGCACAGATAAGGTGAGCTAAGACCTAGAGTGCTGGGTGATGAGCTTGAGAACAGAAAGTCCTGATCTGCAGGTAGATTGTGGGAGGCAAGCATTAGCAGGGGAACTGGTTCCTTTGAAGGAGTCCCATCTGAATCGAGATGCTGAGAGGGGCCAGAGTGGTCTGCATTCTTTCTAAAGCTGTTTTTAGATGACTTGGCAGTGTGGGAGCAGCTCTTTAGAGCCAGTGGTACTTGCTTGTGGCATGTGTTCTCTGCTCCCCTGACCTCAGCATACCCACTATAGGGAGTGGAGAGTGTTTTTGACATCATGGAGATGGAGGATGAAGAACGGAACGCATTGCTTCAGTTGACTGACAGCCAGATCGCGGATGTGGCCCGCTTTTGTAACCGCTACCCGAATATTGAACTGTCCTATGAAGTGGTGGATAAAGACAGCATCCGCAGGTGAGACAGGAAGTGCCAGGAGTCCTGCCCTGGGGTCTCTGCCCACAACCACAGCGCTCATATATTGTTTTGCTTTCACCAGTGGCGGGCCAGTTGTGGTGCTAGTGCAACTGGAGCGAGAGGAGGAAGTCACAGGCCCTGTTATTGCACCTCTCTTCCCACAGGTATGTCCTAGCAGCTGGCTTTGCCACAAGTCCATTTGAGGCCTTGTTCACTAGCTAGGTCGTAGGAACAGGATACATTTCCTACCAGCCGAGAGGAGTCTGGGGGTAATGAACTCACAAGGCTGAGTATTCATCTCAGAACCATGGATTCTTTTTCTTTTTTTTGTCTTTAAACAATTTAGGTGGCTGGTCATTGTTAAAAACATCAGGCAGTGTTAGTATCTCTCTGACTTGTAAGATTACGTTTGTTTCTACAAATGGCCCCAGGACACTTGGACTTTTCTACTTGGTCTTCCAGTTATATTTCACTCAGGTTCTACTTGCATATTTGTTTTTAAATCAACAGGAAGAAAGTCTCATCTTCTTTATGTGGGAGCATTGAAGGTTGGGTGCAGCTGCTAGATAAACTTCATGTACTTCTATAGACAAGTTATTTAGGTTTCTAAGGAAAGTGCCACTGGGGCATATGGGCTCTACTGTGGCCAACAGAGAGGGCTTCTCCAGAGAGAGGATGTCAGGAGAGGTCCCACGGGCTTGCTTTGTATTCTCTCTGCTGCAGGTTTATCTCCACATTACGATTTTTCAGTTAGCTTGCCTCGCACCTAAGTTTCTTAAGAACTTTAAGTTTGTATGCCTCAAGGCTAAATTTCTAATAATATAGTTTAGATTCAGTGACAAGCGTTAAATAAAAAAGGTGCCTTAGGTAATGGAAATGAGGTAGAACTGAAAAGTTAGTCTAGCTGCTTATTTGAAGAGTAAGTCCTTTGGGGATATGTTTAGACTGCTTAAAAACTCTTAAGTCTATCAAGTTGTGTTTCAGGAAGCAACTGTGGAGAGCTTTAATCTGAGTTTTGTTACTGTTTCATAACCATTCTCACAGTTGATTGTAGTCATCAAGTTTTCTATGCTTAAGTTCTTGGCTTTGATCCCTGTAGAAACGTGAAGAGGGCTGGTGGGTTGTGATTGGAGATGCCAAGTCCAACAGCCTCATCTCCATCAAGAGGCTGACCCTGCAGCAGAAAGCCAAGGTGAGTGTGTGCACTCAGTCCTGCATCTATCCCTGGGGTTGGACAGGTGGGTTGCCTCCTCCCAGGTCCCCACTAACTTGATTTCTGCCTGTTCTCTTTAGGTGAAGCTAGACTTTGTGGCCCCAGCCACAGGTGGCCACAACTATACCCTGTACTTCATGAGTGATGCTTACATGGGATGTGACCAGGAGTATAAATTCAGTGTGGATGTGAAAGAAGCTGAGACAGACAGTGATTCAGATTGAGTCTGAGGCATTCTCTCGTGTGTGGGGACACTGAACCTGGAAACAGGAATATGGACAGTTCAGGGGGAACTGGTTTTGGAAACCAGGTCTGTCAGCCTGAGGTCTGTCCATTCAGGTTGCTGCTGTTCCCAGTTACTTTCCTACTCTGGACCAAGCAGTTCAAGCTCTGGGTCTAGTATTTTCAAGTGTCATGTCAAGCATAAACTATGTACAGTAGTTGGAGGCTTTTTTTTTTTTTTTTTTTTTTTTTTTTGTAGTTCCTTGAGTCACACATTCTAATAAATTGAAAAAAATGTTATGTCCTAAATTTTTTTCAACCAAACGTCCTGGCCAGAAAAACTCATTTTAGCACTGAATCTTCCTATCAAGTATGTGGAGGACAAACTTGCCCTCTACTGAAGGACAAAACAATGTCAGACAGCTAACTCCTGGGTCATGCAAATGACCTCAGCCTCCTTTATAGGTGTTGCAAAGTTAGCGGCATGGCAGTAGGAGCTGACTCCATCTTGGCCAACAGGTAGGGCTTCTCATGACCTGTGTTCTGAAATTCTTCCCTCCGTGGTTAAGATGCACTAGGCAGGGCCAGGCGGTGGTGGCACATGCCTTTAATCCCAGCCCTTGGGAGGCAGAGGCAGGCAGACTTCTGGGAGTTTGAGGCCAGCCTGGTCTACAGAGCTAATTCCAGGAAAGTCAAGGCTACCCAGAGAAACCCTGTCTCAAAAAATAAAACAAAAGATGCACCAGGTAGATATGACTCTAGTCTCCTTAAAATGTCCTCTTACCACATTCTCACACCTACAACTTCAGATGTTTGCTTTCTGTTCTTCATGAATAACCATGAATCACTGTGATTCATTTTCTAGGCCAGCAGTTTTCAAATGATGATTTCAAGACCCCTTACCCTTCAGAAAACTAAGAGCAGAGCCTCAAAAGCTTTTATTATCTAGGTTATATTCATTGATACTTGTTATAATAAAAATTAAGGCAGTCCATTTCAAAATAACCTCATTAACATATTTTAGGAAAAATAAATTCTTGAGGAAGAATAGCATGGTACAGTGTTGCAGTCATTTTACATCCTTTACATAGAAGCCAGTTAGGATCTTTAGCCACTTCTATGCCCATCTATTGTGTGCTCGAACTGAAGCATGTCAACTTCAGAGAAAAGAGTTTTCAAATAACTGGCTCTCCATTGCTACTATGCAAAACTGAATGTGAAAGTTTCCTAGAGGCAATGTAGGGTCTACAGCTGCATCCATGCATCTTATACTATTAAACCTACTACCCCATCTTAGAGTCACTGTCCGAATATAACATTTTCCAAATGACCCATGTAACACCAGTACATGGGTCATTTGGAGAACGACCTATGAAATTCCACAGATCTCAAGATGTTCATGCAGTTCACTACTCATTTGCTAATTTCATTACCACTAAAGTTTGTTACAAGTTTTCAGAAATTCTGTCTTTTAAACATTTACCATTAGCAGTGAACACTTAGTGAAAGGTTCAATGTGTTCATTTTTCAGAAACACAGCTAAAGAGCCAAGCCTAAATACTGTAATTTCCTAGTTCTGGTAAAGATGGCATGCCATGAATAGCTAACTTGGCTTGTAACAACGTCCAACTGCTTTTCCTTAAGACCATCTTACTTGTAGAGGGGCTAGATGGAATTTTCTCATTTGTCAGTATGAGAAGTGTTCTCAGGGGTCAGTGTTTAATAATAATTAGTCCTCTTTCTTGTCTAAGAAGCTAGCTCCGTTCCTACTGTGGGAACAAGACAGCGAAGACTGATGGCTATCTAACTGGTGCCACTCCTGGACCATGTAAGGTGTTGACCCTGCAAGGGACCTAGGACTCACAGGGATCTGCAGATTACTCTAGCCACTACTGTTCTGGATACTGTTTCTGCTGTCTTTCAAAAAAAAGCTAGTCACAATTGTACAGTGCCAAAAATTAAGTGAAGGCTCCAGCTTTGGAGACAACCCTCACCACTCTTTAGAAGGCTTATTAGACATTAATTACTCTTTTCCCTGAAAAACACCACATTGGCAGCACACACATGCCATAGTCTTTTACTTGTTTTTTTTTTTGAGACAGGACCTCTGTCTACTTGGCTGTCCTGGAACTCATTTTGTAGATCAAGTTGGCCTCTGCCTCCTGAGTGGTAGATTATAGGTGTGTGTCACCACACCCAGCCTGCTGATGTTTTTTTAGAGGGCCACAAGCTATTGTCTAAATGTTTTCTGCCCTTTACTGAAAATCAATTCTCTCTTTAGGGGAGTTCAGTTGCCACCACAGCATAATGTCTCAAGAGGCATATGAGGGTTTCTAAGGAAGAGCAGAGGTGTTCTTTTACTCTGAACAAACTTTGAACGTAACTGTTTTTTGAGAAAGGGTCTTGTATAGTCCAAACTAGTTTGAAACTTGTTATGTAGCCAAGGATAACCTTGAGCTTTTGATCATCCTGTCTTTGCTTGAGTGCTAGGAAGACACCATAACTGGCTTGCATGTCTTAAATGCAGGGACTTCTCTTAGAAATTGGGAAGGAGGGACCCATTTAAACAGTGGAATTATAAATGATAAATGACCTTATTTATAAAATAGGAAGTGGGGCACAGGTGGATTATTTCTATAAAGCTCATAATTTCAGAAAGCTTTCAAACACATTTTCCTATATACATACATAGTGATTATAAATACTCTATTTACCCCCCAAATGTAACACCATGCCCTAAATAAAGCAAAATTTGTAACACAGCGTACTTCTGTTCCATGGCTCTGTCCCATGGCTCTCTCACATCAAGGAAGGGAAACAGTGAATGGTCCTGTGGCTTCTACACATCCAAACAGAAGGCATAAAGCTAAATGAAGATTAAGGATCCTTCAGGTCCTCTTGATGACTAGGAAAGTCTTGGCCAAGTCAAGCTATAGCTCAGAGGCCTGCAGGTTGGTGATATTCCCAGAAGGCCACCTCCCCATCATCACTACAAGAGGCCAAGAGTCCTGGCTCCTTGGGATTCCAAGCCACACAGTTGACGTCCTGGGAATGGGCCTGACGCAGATGAGCCGTCAGAGAGAAGGTAGGCTGCTGTGGATCTGAGCCTGGATCCTCCTCAAACACTCGGATGGCATCATCCCCACACGCTGTAGCCAGGGCCCCTGTCAGCTGACACCTGGGAGGAACATACATGTCACTGGGTAAGCAAATTAGGGAGAAGTGTTCCACAGTCCCAGGCCTACCTTCTTCCCAAACCTAAGGCCTCAGCTAAGCTGTTTCACAGAAAAGCTTTCCTAAGCCATCACACCAACAAAGGCCCTCCTAGTCCTCAGGGGTTCCCATCTGGTTGCCCCAGCTACAGATGAGACCAAATCACACTTTCTCCACTTGGCGTAAGCACTTGCCCATGTCACTGCATCCTTAACCTCCTTTTAACACTGACATTAACAAGTTTCACCATAATTTAGTAGAACTTACTTTAAAATAAACATTGAAGATTCCCCAATTGCCCATCACTGTATAAAACTTGAATCTGGAATGTTCAATTGCCTGTTAGTAAGTTAAAACACCAGCAAAATTCCAATTGCTTGAGTGTTGTTTTTTTCTTCAAGACAGGGTTTCTCTGGGTAGCTCTGGCTGTCCTGGAACTCACTCTATACACTAGATCTGCCTGCTTCTACCTACTGAGTGGTGGGATTACAGGTTGCACCAGCACCACCCAGCAGGTTTTTTTTTTTTTAAAGGATTTTTTTTAATTGTTGTAAGATTTATTTTTCTTTTATAGGTATTTTTGCCTATATGTATGTCTGTGTACCATGTGTGTATAGTGCCCACTGAAGCCAAAAAGGGTGTCAGATCCCTTGGAACTAGAGTTACAGACAGTTGTGAGCAGCCATGTGGGAGCTGAGAATTGAACCTAGGTCCTCTAGAAGAGTAGCCAGTTTTCTTAACTGCTGAGCTATTTCTCCAGCCTCAAATAGGTCTAAATTTTTTGTTGTTTTGATTGCTTTTTTTTTTTTTTTTTCTGAGACAGAGTTTCTCTGTGTAGCCCTGGCTGTCCCAGAACTCACTCCGTAGACCAGGCTGGCCTCAAACTCACAGAGACAAGTAAGGTTAATTTTAAGCGGTTAAATACATATCCCTAAAAAACCAACCAAACAAACAAAAAACCAACTCCTTAGCTAAAAGTAAATTTCAATTTCTGCCATAAACTTAATGCTTGGGGGTAGGGTGGGGCTAATTCTCCATAAAGTCAAAATACTTGAGTCCCATTTCATGGCATAGATATTCCCAGACATAAAGCTTAGATATATCACAGATTTTTCTCATGGTTGGAATTATTTCTAAGATCTAAGACTCAGGCCCAGAGTGGCCTTTAACCTCCACTCTTCTAAGAATGGGGCAGCTTTTCTAGTCTCCGTAAGAATCAGTTACTAAAGCACAAAGTCCACAGTTACAAATGCACATATTCTATGATATCTCAGGATGTCGCAATGCTATGTAAATTCTAAGGGTTGGTGCTGCCCTCAAAACCTGGGATCTTATCCCAGAAACAGTCTTAGGTATAGTCATCTTCCTGCTCCTAGAACCCCAGGCCAGCCAGTTGTAAACCAGAATAGCAGGCCTAATCTGAACAAATGCAGAGCAGCACAGGTCATGCCATCTCTAAAACCCCTGCTATAGGAATGTGACTGAGGTCTTACCAAGCAATGTCGTAAATGGTCCTGGTGTGGAAGCCTGACAAAGTGCAGATACATTTCCAGGTGGGGTCAGAGCCACTGCATGCCACCCCTGTGCGACAGAACTTTCTTAAGTCCAAGGCATTCTGTGTCCTGAGCACCCCTACTATTGCAAAGGAGAACCTAATGTGCCCTTCCTCATCCCACTGCCAATCAATGAGCCTTCGTTCCAACTGTGTTCCCACCCTCCTTGTCTGCCTTACACACTGTTGTCACCCAAGGATTCTGAGAAGGAAGCACCCCTATTCCACTACAGGCTGTATCTAACCAGTTAATCTGCCTTTTAAGGCCACTCACTAGCCACCCACCCAACGTCACTCCTCCCTTCTAGTCCTCTGCCTTGCCTCAAGGAATCCTGTTCTTCACGTTGTTTAGATATTCCCACCATCAGTCAACTCATGCTGCTGGGTTTTCTTTTCTTTCTTTTTCTTTTCTTTTTCTTTTTTTTTTTTTTTTATTTTTTGAGTCAGGGTCTCACTATGTAGCTCTGGCTGTCCTGGAACTCACTATGTAGACGGTGGCCTTGAACTCAGAGATCTCCCAGCTTCTGCCTCCCGAGTACTGGGATTAAAGGCCTATGTTACCACCATTTGGCAGCTTTTTTTTTTGGTTGGGGGGTTTGCTGCTGGGCTTTCAACTGAGAATCTTGTGTTACAGTCTCCTGTTAAAAATTCTACATGCCAGCTGGGGGCGCACGCCTTTAATCCCAGCACTCGGGAGGCAGAGCCAGGCGGATCTCTGTGAGTTTGAGGCCAGCCTGGGCTACCAAGTGAGTTCCAAGACAGGCACCAAAACTACACAGAGAAACCCTGTCTCGAAAAACAAAAACAAAAACAAAAACAAAAAAATCTACATGCCATCTTCAAATTTGGTTAGAAGGCCTTGTTCCACAAAGCTATCCCCAGTTCTTTCAGTGCTTCCCTGGAGATCTCCTGTGACCTCATGAACCCAATTTGTGATTCATGGTAGACTATAAAACTCTAAGGAAAGTGGTCTCCTTTGACTCCTGGACCCTCACCTTGCTCATTGCCTGGTAGATACTGGCGCCAAATGCGCACAGTACGGTCATCACTGCAAGATGCCAGACGCTGGCCACTGGGGTCAAAGGCCAAGCTCCATACAGTGGACTCATGACCTTCAAGGGTCGCACAGCAGACCCAGTCGTCCCCTTCTTCCTGGTACAACTTCACTGTGTCATCATAGCTGGCAGAAGCTAAAAGCTGAAAGTGGAAAAGAGACCCAGCATTTGTCTGTATGGCCCAGGAGGTACCCATGGTTCCAGTATCAAACACTGTCTGGACAGGACAGTCCCAAAGATCCCTATGGAAGTGAGGGTGATGTTGAAGAGTGCAGGCAGGCCGGGCACAAGCCTCCACATCAGGGTTCTTTCCTACCCCGTCTGATGCTCACCTCCTGGCTTGGGTGCCAAACCACATGCTTAACGTCCTGTGTATGAGAGTTGAGGACACTGACACATTCATACTCATCCTCTTCGTCAACTGTGGGAGAAAAAAGAACCAAAGAGCTGACCCTGTCAGGAGCAGAGATGAAAGTCAGTGAGCTGGTTTTCCACTGTACCTAGAGACGTCTGGACTCACCTTCCCAGACCCACACACTCTTATCTCTGCTGCAGGTAGCCAAGAGGTTGCCAGATGGGGCCCAGGCCACTGACTTGACCTCATTTTCATGACCCTCAAGAGTGGTTACACACTGGAAAGGGAAAAAGATTGTGAATTAATGACAGCCAGGAGTCCCAGTAAAACATCTAAGATCACAACCTTGCTGCTGAGACAGCCTAGACGAGCTTCGACTTGTGGCAGTCCTCTTGCCTCAGTGTCCCATTGCTGGGATTTGGTGTCATGAACTACCATACCCAGCTACCATGTCTATGGTATAAACATTAAGTAAAGGCTGTCCTCAAAGGGGCAGGTTGACCCAGCTGTGGGGTGCAGACAAGTAATTTGCTTCCATCCAGCCTGGTTACCTCAAAGTCATTCTGGTTCTTCTTCCAAATGCAAGTAGTAGCATCAAAGCTGGCAGAGGCCAGGTAATTTCCACAGGGGGACCAGGCCACTTTCCGAACAGTGCGCTGATGGCCTTCAGAAAGGACAGACTTGCAAATCCAGCTGTCACCTACAGGCAGAGAACAGGCTAGGCTCTGGAGCACCATCAATGCCATTCAATAACTGGTACTGAAAGTGGAACCCTGTCGGGTGACAAACTCAACCACCATTACAACGATGCAAGCGACTACTTCCTCTGGAAGGGGTCTTAAAACCGTCCAATTGCTATTCAGACTACTTTTCTCATTTTTCTTCCTCAACAAATATCCCAGTTCCCGCAACAATCCCAGACTGTCCGCTGACGCTTGCACACTCCTTCCCCCGACAAACCCTTTTCAAGAGTAGCGTCTTCCTCGGCACCAGGGTCACAAAGCCAAGCCAGGCCTTACCCTCGGTGCCCCAGATGCGGATTTTACGGTCGCCGCCGCACGAGGCCAGCAGGGTCCCCGTGGGGTTCCAGGCCAGGAACCAGCAGCGGGAGTCCGGGTGCGCCGGGACGCGGCTCTGCAGCACCAGTGCATCCTTCATGGCAGTGGCCTCGGGGTGAGAAAGAGGACGCCGAAAGCAACGTGCAGAACGCGGTGGCCACGGTAGGACCCAACGGTCGCCAGATGCCCCGCTTCTGCCACTGGGGTCGCCCTGGGAACTGAAGCGCCCGCTGCTGAGGCCGCACGGCCTTCTGGGACTTGTAGTCACTCCCCCTCACCTTCCACAACGGGAAGCCTCGCAGGACTGTCCCGAACTACGAGTCCCCTGATGCCCCGCGCGAGAACAGGCGGCGCGCGCACACAGTGACGCAAAAGGAGGGCAGAGCGGTGAGCCGGAGGAGGAGGAGAAGGGGGTGGGGTGCGGCTGGAGGAAGCCGGAAGTGCATCAGCCCGGGTCCGTCTGGGCGTTGCGGGATTGGGGCCTGTAATCGCTTGGCCCGGGCAGCTGAGAAGCCCGTGACCGGGCAGA